ACTTATTATAAGCATTTTTCATGTAAAAAACGAAGTAGGCAAAGCCAAAGTTCTTATTTTTCCTAGGGTTGCCTGGAGGTTGGAATACTTTGCCGTTTCTATATAGGTCATAAGGATTTTCACATCGATACGGAAGAAGAGTTTTAGCCAAAATGCCCAGCTGAGCCTTGTGATAAAGCAACTAGCATCACGGAGACAAGTGATTGACAAATGTTCCTGTGGCCTTGATGTATATATATATATATATAGCAAATGTATCAGCCATCACCTATACTGCGAAGATGAATTAAACTCTGTCTATAAGCTTATGAGTACCATTTAGCCGTTGTCATGGTAAATGATGCAAATGTGGAATTTCCTTGCTGCCATGCCACCACTTATAGATATGTTCAACGATAGCCAAAGGAGCTGGTGGAATCCTATCTTGATCTAAATGCTCGCTCATACACGATTTTTTATCCCCAAGAATAAACGTGGAATCCAGGATGTTAGATAAATATGAGCAAATTAATGCTGTTGATGCAAGAATGTAGTTGTCGAGAAGTTATTATCAGATTATTTTACAATAATTTTCTCACTGACTCCTGATTTAGATACGACTCAAAGAGCTCAAAAATGCAGTTGGCGACGATTGGTAAAACTCTACCTTCAGATGAAATCCTTCCAGGAAAAGCTAATGGTATTGTTTTTAAGTCACGAGGGGTATTTAGGTAAGAAATGACACTGCTTATCTGACCAAAATTAACTAGTTTTAAAAAATATGCTGATAAAGCTTCGTTTTCCTTCTCATTGTCTCTTAAAATTAAATTATACATCACAAATTACAAGGGTCGCAAATAAAATGAATTTACATCATATATTAAAAAAACAATGCTATTAATTAGTTTTGTTTTCAAACATAAATAAAAATAATTTTACCCTTAACCGTGGTGATTCTTACAAATGTAACAAGTATTAGTATGAAATTATAAAATGTAGATACAGCTTGACAAGGCTTACCGATAACCTCCACCACCACGCCCTCCCATACGACGATCTTCCCAACCTCCGCGACCCCACCGAATTGGACCCCCTCGCCCAGGACCTCTACCTCCCCCTCCACGTGGGCCACGATCCATCCATCCGCGACCTCTATCCTCAAAGAAACTACCGCCTCCACCGCGGCCGCGACCCCATCTCCACTCTCCACCTCCGCCTCTCATGCCTCCAGCCGGGCCGTAATCATCAGAACTTGGTGGGGGAATCGACACACCGGCCCCGCCATGCTGATGAGGATGAGATGGAGGCTGAGCAGATTCCCCAGCGCTAAATCCAGTTGGTCCGGGCAAATTCATGCCAGGAGGACCAGCCTCGATTTGATGCCTGCGCTCTATAGCGCGAAGGCGTTCTTGGACACGTTCTTGTAAAATATTAGAGGTCAACGGCAAGTCGCTCTCGGCTTCAAACTTGGAAATTCCGTTTTCGTTCGACATACCTTGTTCGAATATCTATACAAGGTAACAATAAAAGAGTTCATTTAAAGAGCAATGAAATATAACAATATTACTAAGAAAGTGACTGGAAAAATAACTTAGGTTCTATCGACCTATAAATTTTTTTATAAAACGCGGAATGTATTACATACATTTAGTGGCTTTTTAAACTTCTCATAAGTCAAAAGGAACTAATAGAATAATCCGGCCATTGATGAAGCGAAAGTAAAAATAAATCTAATGGTAATAAAATAGTTTACAATAGGTGCAGAGGAAGCGACGAGAAATCTTAGAGTACTACTTTGTACCCTGAAGATATAGATATATATGTAAAAGTATTGCCATATATTTGTTCAAGACATTACTTTATGCGGAATATGGTTTAGCAAAGTTATTAAATATAAGTCGTCGAAAAATCCTGGTATGATAAGAGTGAAAGCATCAAAAACGTGAAACCCG